CGGGCTGAGGAAGTGAGGAGAGTGGCTAGGAGGCAGCAGGCCTTGAGGCAAAGGGCCTGTGGCGAGTTCAGGGCAGTAAGCCAGGGGAGGGCTTCTCAGTGCCCCACACTAGTTGCAGCCATCAGATGACATGGGTGACTGAATCATGTTTAGTGAAGCAACAGATGTGTGAGCGAGTTATGATAAAGGAACCCAGAGATGGCGAGAGCCCAGAGACCTTGCAACACCAGGGAGCCCTTACTCCGGCAGATCTGAGGGGTTTAAAGGAAGGGAGACTGTTGGCACCCAGAGACCTGTGGCTGTCCAAGGGGGCCTGCTGACGGTGGTGTCGCCACAAAAGGAGGGACACAGACTTGCGTCTGGCAGCAAGGAAGCCAGGGAAAGACATGCCCTGGCTTCTCTCCCCTCCCACCCTCTGATCTGCCGGAACAAGGCACAACCAGAGTTACCCTCTGGATCCAAAGTGATACATTCGGCAGAGATCAGCCTCCTAGGGCACAGTGCAAGGTGGGAGAGAGGGGAGCGGATGTAGGAAGGACCAGCAGAGGACACCAGCACATGGGCATGCCAACCTTGTCTGTCCATTTGTTCTGTCCATGGTCCATTCGTCTATCCACCCAGCTATCCATCTCATCGCTCTACATCTCCTTGTGTATCTGAGACCTCATGTTGATTGATTGGTGGATGAGCTCTGCCCTCCCCCTGAGCCACAAGGGCTTCCCTATTCCGGGGGCTGGGAGGCCATGGGATATCCCTGTAGTAGGGGGCTGGGGGCTTTGCCTATACCTGCCATTCTTGGACAGTCTGTGGCTAGTCCAGGAGGGGACCCCAGCTAGTCTCTAGGAAGCACCGGGGTGGGCTGAGAAAGGTCCTTAGTGTGAATTTGCCTCCTCCCTGCAGTGGGCGCGCTGCCAGGCTTGCCTTGCCCCACTGCAGTTGGTACCTCTGTGTTGCAGACTCCCTGGGTGGAGGCTCCGAGGGCCCATGTTTCTGCCCTACTCCCTGCAACCTGACCCGTTATGGGAAAGAAATCTCCATGGTCAGGATCCCCAACAGGGGTTCAGCCCGGTACCTGGCGAGGAAGTACAACCGCAACGAGACCTACATACGGTATGTGCGTGTATGTGCAAGTGTGTGTGTATGTGAGTATATGAGTATATATGTGTGTGCATGTATGTGAGTGTGTATGTGACTTAGGCCACCCTCAACGGGCCCAGTGTGGGGTGGAGCCTGGAAGTGGCTGCTTCTTTGTTATGATGGGTCTCCTGCCAGCCTCTCACCATCTCTTTTTAAAATTATTTATTTAATTTTATTTCTTTTCATTTGACTAGACACACACACACACACACACACACAGAGAGAGAGAGAGAGAGAGAAAGGCATCAGGTCCAGGACTCGAACCATGGTCGGCCATGTGAGAGTGCCCAGCACCTTAACCACCACGCCACCTGCTGGTCCCGGTCACCATCTCTTCTTCTAACTCACCCCTCCCTTGAAGTCACTGCCCTGTCTCCACCTGCAGGGAAGCACTTCCTGGCCCAAACGCCTCATGTGAGCTCCCATGACACCTGCCCCTGTCCTTGCCACTATGTGTCCCCATTGCTATAACCCTTGGTTTATGCGTCTTTCTCCCCCAGGATCCTGGGAGCTAGTAAATGTACACTGAGTGAGAGCTGCCCAGGGACAGGGTGTGAGGGAGGGGAGGGGAACAGAGTGGTCCTCGGAGGTAGGAGGGGCCACACTGAGCCTGGAGTCCAGCTCCCTGCAGCCAATTCTCAGAGGTTGAGCATTGGCTAGTCTAGATGTAAGGCCTAGTGTTGGGTCCCATGGGGACAGATGATTGTGACACAAAACCCATGCTACGTTTGTGAACGGGCCCACATTTGATGCGGTGTCATTCTCCGGCCAGCATGGGAGAGGGGAAGGAGGGGAGGTGTGAGAGGGCCTCGGAGGACTCTGAGTTGTATGAGGAGGAGAGGAAGGAGGTTCCAGTCAGAGAACCGTGGGGTGAGGCAGAGAGGGGCCTGAACAGTAGGGGGCTGTTGGAGAGAAGCAGGGGGGCACTGTGGAACAGACCACAGACAGCCTCAAGAAGTCTGGAACAGCAGGGCCAGCAGGTGGCGTAGTGGTTAAGGCATTGGATTCCCACATGACCAACCCCAGTTTGAGTCCCAGACCTGGTGGTTTTAAATCATGCTGGGGGCGTGTGTGTGTGTGTGTGTGTGCCTGAAATCCCAAGAGGAGAATGGACATCCCCCCAGGGAATGATTTCTTACTTTCTCTCTGTCTCTTCAGTGAGTGCTCATGTGCCCTACAGCAAAAATCTCTCCTTAATTAATTTCTTTAAAAAAAGAGAGAGAGAGAGAAAAGTCTGGGGTGGGAATTCTGAAGCATATTAATGGGCAGTAGGGAGCCACTGAAGGTTCTGGAGAGGCATAAGGATGAGACAAAATAGTGAATGCTATTTGCTGCTTTAGAAGAGGCAAGAGGAAGTTTGCTTTCCTGGCCCTTTGCTACCCTGCAACGTATGAAGCTAACCCACACCTGGGACTGCCTTCCCTTACAGCCTTTAGGAGTCAGACCAGTTTCCCAGTGCAGAGGGTCTCAGATCAGCACCCTGGGGTGTCCCTGCCAGCTGTCTCCTCAGGAAGAGTGACTCTACAGGAATACCCTGCTTCCTGTTTCCACAGGGAGAACTTCCTGGTCCTAGATGTCTTTTTCGAGGCCCTGACCTCCGAAGCTGTGGAGCAACGAGCAGTCTATGGGCTGTCAGCCCTACTGGGTGAGGCTCGGCCCCTGCCCCACCTACTGTGGGTGGTGGACCCAGGCTGCTCCCTCTGACCCTGCTCTCCTTCCTGCTCCCCAGGAGACCTCGGGGGACAGATGGGCCTGTTCATTGGGGCCAGCATCCTCACGCTGCTGGAGATCCTCGACTACGTCTATGAGGCAAGGGCCCAGGTTGGGGACATGGTGGGGGAGCGCTATGGGAAAGTGGAAGGGCCGTGCAGGCTCCTTGGAGGAGCTGGTCTGACTGGAGGTTAAGCCTGGGTTCTTTGCTGGGCCAGAAAGATGGAAGATGACAGAATGATACAGGAGCAGGGGCCAGGGTCTGTAAAGGCCCTCTCTTCTCCTCTGCCAATCCTAAAACTCGTTGCTACCCCCAACCTGAACCCCAAGGTGTCCTGGGACCGACTGAAGCGGGTGTGGCGGCGTCCCAAGACCCCTCTGCGGACCTCCGCCGGGGGCATTTCCACTTTGGGGTTGCAGGAGCTGAAGGAGCAGGTGAGGACCAGTTCTGCGGCGTGTGCAGCTGTATGCCATGCCCAGGACGGAGGCCCCCAGTTTCCTAACTAGCCAGGGAGAGGTCCCCGGGCCCCAGGGGTCAAGGCGAGGCTGGCTGAGGCATAGAGGTATTACCCGGGCTCTCCCATCCTGCTCCCTCTTCCTCTTGCAGAGTCCCTGCCCAAGCCGGGGCCGTGCTGAGGGTGGGGGGGCCAGCAGCCTGCTCCCCAACCACCACCACCCCCACGGTCCCCCAGGAGGCCTCTTCGAAGACTTCGCTTGCTAGAATGGTGCTGTGTCTGAAGGACCCAGGGTCTGGGACCCTCCCCAGCTCCCCAGCATACTCTCCTGTCCCCTGGGGCAGAAGGCCTGGGGGCCAGCCCAGAGCTGAAGGGAGGGTGGTGCTCACTGGGAGGGCCGGGACTCAGTTCCTGCTCTCTCCTGACCCTGGCGTCAGCTGCTTTGCACAAGGGTCCTTCTTATCCACACTCCCTGCCCTCCAGGCTGGTGCCCAGGGAGGGCGGGCGACCAGACCATGGGCCCCTGCGGCGGGAAGGGAGGAAAGGAGAAGGAGGATGGCACCACCCCAGCAGGGGTGGAACCCTCTGTACATTTGTATATATGTAGGGCAGACAGGGTGGGGGCGGGGTGCAGATGTAGAAGGCGGGTGGGGTTACAGGGGTGGGCAATTCAGGGACAATTGGGGCCCAGCCCAAGTGTCAGCAGGGGCAGGTGAGCCCCAGGACTCGGGAGTGCCTGGCTGGTCCTACTTCCTGCCCCTCTCCAGGCCCAGCTCCCCTCTTGGCAGGGGGAGCGGGTGGCCCAGCAGGCCTGGCCCAGCTCCCAGTTCCCCCCACCCCAACCCCAGCCGCATCCCCTCTGCAGGGGTGGGCAGACCTTTTAGACCTTGGCTGAGCCTGGGAGTGGGAAGGGAGCCTTCGTGGGCCTCTCCCTCTGCAGTCTGGTTTTATAAAGTGCTGACGAGATCGGGAATAAAGAGGCATAAAGAGTCCTCTGTGTGTATGTGTGATGGAGCACGTACTGGGGCTGGGGCGGGGCTGGGCACATGTGCGACTTAGTCCCTGGTCAAAGGAAATGCAGGCTGGGCTGGCCCATAGCCTGGTGGTTAAGGGACGCTGAATCCCACATGGCCAACCATAGTTCGAGTACTGGCCCTGGTACCTTGAGAAATATGCTGGTCACATGTGTGTGACCCAATAGGATGGGGATGGAGATGGGATTGTGGCATGACTGTGCCCCCGTGCAGGTGCTTTCTCCCTCTCTCTCTCCGGTGAGCACACGTGCCCTCTGGCAACAAAATAAATAAATAGTAAATAAATAAATGCAGGCCCTCAGAAGGACAGGGAGCCTCCATGCTCAGTTACCTCCCCATCTTCCCAATGCCTACCATTCAAAAACTCAAAATCACTAGTCCACACTCAGCCAGTTTATTAAAGGGGGGGAGTTCATCAGGGGTCCAGAAGGGAGAAGTGGGGAGGTGCTCCCATCCTCCTCTCTCAGCTCCCCTTTCCTCAACATTTTGTCTACAACCCAGCCCCCAGGGCCTGATCCCAGGAGGCAGGGCTGGTGTCAGGCAGACTGTACTGCATAAATACAAGGAGGCCACAGCCCGAGTCAGCAGCGTCAATGGGGCAGGAAGACTGGGCTTGGGTGACAAGGGGGTGGCTCTAGGGACATCTCCCCCAGGGTTGTCCTGAGCCCAGGGGACCACAAAGCCAGAGAGAGGGGCCCAGTGGACTTCCCTGGGGTCAGAGGCTGCAGCCAGCCCTGTCCGGCGAGGCTGGCAGGTAGCTCCAGCTTGTTGGGGAGGAGCGGGTGGGGTGTGGCGTGCCAGGGCTTGGGGCACAGGGCGAGGTCAGGTGCTGTTGCCCTGTTCCTGCTCGAAGAGCAGCATGGCGAGCTGGGTTCGGGAGCCGAGGCCCTCGAGCATGCTCTGGCGGCAGCGGTGGTACAGGTCCTCGCTGAGCCGGGCGCTGCATGGCTGGGCCCGGTAGCGCTGCAGCAGCGCGGGCTCCACCGCCCGCAGCACGTGGAGGCTAGAGAAGCGCAGGAACAGCTCGTACACATCCAGGCCCTCCAGCAGCTCCTCCTCTTGCTCTGAGGCTGCCGCCAGCCGCCCACGTGCTGCCACGTAGTCGGAGTTGTAGAAGCAGGCCTCGCTGGCCGCCTGGCGATCAAAGCGGCCTGTGTCACGGCCCAGCTCCGGTGGTCCGGGCCCCTGTGGTGGGGCTACTGCTGGGTGGAAGGCCTGGAAGTGCATGGGAAAGAAGGCCTGCCAGCCGGAGATGGCGTGCATGCGGCAGCGGGTCAGGGAGTCTCACTGTGTCCGGCCCGGCCAGCAGGAACAGTGTGTCCAGCGGGTGCTTTTTGGAGAGCAGATCCATGAGTCGCAGCGGGGACGGCGCGGCCGTCTGTACGCTGAGCCAGGGCACCCGGGCACCAGGGAACCGCCGCTCCAGTTCTGCCACGTGTGCCTTGACAGGTGCGAAGACATCTGCATGGGCTGCCCGCTGGGCCTGGCGGGGCTCATACAACAGCAGCAGGGTCAGGGCTGCCGCAGCGTCACCAGGCTCCAGTGCTGCAGTGGCAAAAGCCTCCAGGAAGCCGGGGGCCAGGTCACGTTCAGCTGCTGCCAGAGGCAACAGCACGGTGAGACGTGAGGCCTCTGTGACGTAGGGCACAGGCAAGATCTCCACACGGCTCAGTGGCCGGAGTAGCTGCACCCTGCGAGTGAGAGGCCGACGGCCACCCTGGGGGGTCAGGGCCTCCAGCTGCAGGTCCAGCGTGTACTCCATACCCCGGGCTGGGTCAAAGCGCCGGTAGCCATTAACCAGCTGCTGCTTCTGGAGCCGCAGGGCTGGGTGGTAGCGGCGGTTGAGCTCTTCCAGTGCTGTCCCCAGAACGTCAGCCACATCGGCCCGGTCAGCCCCACGCAGGGGGCAGCGGGGCGAACCATCAGCACAGGAGAAAGCATGCTGCTCTGTGAAGTAGTCCCATCGCAGCACCTCAAAGCGGGAGGCTGGGCGGGATGGTGCTGGAATGCCCACGGGCCAGGCAGCTGCCCGCTCTCCATCAGCTGCCAGATGGCTGGTGTTCTGGATCTCCCACTGGGTTGGAGAAATGGGCCATGAACAAGGCAGAGACCAGAGGCCAGCACACAGCTGGGGCCCTGGGTAGGCAGCCACTCAAGAGGGTCCCTGGGCCCTTGCCAATCTCCGCCCACCTTCAGTCCCCTATCTTTTCTTCAGATGGAAACAGCCTAAAAGTTAAGGGGGGAGGGGGAGGTTTCTACAGCTAGCCAGGTGGCATGGTGGGAAAGGTGGCTGGATCCTGTGTGGATGAATATGCACTTCAAGTCCCAGACCTGGCATCTTGGAAAATACACCCGGTGGGTGTGCGTGCATGCCCAAACCCCCGAGGAGAATGGAGGAGGAGGAACTGCAGCATGGCTATAGCCCCTGGGGTGTGATTTCTCATTTGCCCCCTCTCTTTCTCTCTCTGTGTCTCTCTCTAGCTAGCTCACATACCCTATATCAAAACTAAAAGTAAATTAAAAATTAAGAGGGGAGTGTTTCTGGCAGCTTCTCAGAGAAGGTGGAAACGGACGGGCTGGGAAACAAGTTTATATTGTGATTCTAGTGTTAACTTTCAATTTCTCTGGAATCTCTGGGACCTCTCAGAAGCTGCCCCCTTTTGTCTCCTCCCACAACAAGGCCCGAACCATACCTGCAGTTCCTGGATCTCCTGGTACGTGCGTTCCAGCTCAGATCGAGCAAAAGCCTTGTGCAGCTGGTACATGTGCACAGGGTCACGCACAGGGTGGGCTGTCAGGGCACTGCGGAGACGAGGGTCCCCCTCCTGCACAGGCTCCCCAGGGTTCACCTCCAGATAGCTATAGTGTACCCCCTGGGGAGAGGAAGGAAAGGGGTCCATTACAGGAAGACAGGTCTGTCCCCCGACTCTGTCTCACACTGACACAGTGATGAGCGTCTCCTCTCCTCATTCTATGACCTGTCATGGCCATGGAGTCAGAGCTCTGTGAGCTTAAGTCTACTCTAACCAGTTCTGAGCTTGCGTGACCTTGGGAAGACTTCTCCTATTCTTCTATGAAATAGGCATGTGCCCTGTCTCAGAGCTGTCCAGGGACTCAAGTGACATAACGAATATTGAAACTTTACTAGGTGCAAGGCACCCTTGTTTTCTCTAGTCCTGTAACAACCCTGGAAAGCAGTTATTTCCACTGGCATGGATGAAGCTCAGGAGATGTGGTTATTTACCCAAGGTCCCAGAGACATAAAATGATGTGGAGGGGCTGGCAGGTGTTTTGGTGGTTAAGGCACTGGACTCCCACATGGCCAACTGCAATTAGAGTCCTGGACCTGGCAGCTTGCTTTCTCACTTTCCCTCTCTCTCTTTCTCTAGTCAAACTAAAAATAATAATAATAATAATAATATAAATAGAACTAAATAATTCTTAAAAAAAAAAAAAAAAAAGGAAATCATATGGAAACTCAGGTCCATGTCTCCAACACTCTTCTGCCTCTCCTGGGGATGTGCACAAAATCACATAGGATGCCCCAGTGGGGCGGCTTATAGCCCTACCTCTTGGTCACCAGTGCAGCCCACTCCAGTGGCATCAAGGATGCAGCGTCCCAGCCATTCATCCGGACGCGCACTGACGATGTCATTACGGCAGCCTTCCAGGTGGGGGCGCAGCTGTTGCAGCAGCGTGCGTGACAGCAGCACCCCAAAGCCACCATGGCAGTAGCGACCGGGGGTGGCCTCTCCTCCGATGAAGTCCTGGGGCCGGCCCAGATAAAGGTGGGCAGCAGCGGCCAGGCTGAGGCGGCCAGTTAGGCGTGCCAGAGTATGTGCCTCAGTGTAGGTGGCATCAGGAACTAGGAAGAACCAGTCAAAGTCATCACCGTGCTGCTCCAGCAGGTGGCGCAGTGCCAGGTGCAGGTGTCCAATGGGCCGCTCCTCACCCAGGGTTACCACTGCCATGCCCGGTGGTACCCGGCGGCCCCGAGCGCCTGTCAGGAACACCACACGCTCTAATCGGTGCCCCAAGGTGCGGTTCACAGCCACGCCCAGAGTGGGCAGCGTGGCCTGTGAGGTCAGCACCGCCACCAGCAGCCTCTGCCTGATGCCCAGCTCCGTGCTGATGTAGCGGGTCCTGGAGGGGATGGCACAAGATTGTCAAAAAGCAGAGCAGGCAGGAAACAGCATGCAGGTGCACAGCCACATCTCTGGGTCTGTTCTCTCGCCTAGGAACAGGCTAAGAATAACATCGCTTTCCCAGGGGGCCATAAGGATTTATGAACTATTAGCCTCGCCTACATGGTATCTTGCATTTGAGAAATGGTAATACCCCTGCAGCTATCAGAGATCAATTGTGAGTAAAATCCTGATTTCACTGCTAGTAGTTGTGTCCTTGAATCTGTTCTTTAACTTGAACCACCTGTAAAAAGGGGTGACTGCATTTATTTAAAGCACTTAGCTAAATGCTCGGCATATGCATATACTTATTTCTCTATAAATATACCACTATACCACAAGTCTATCAATATAGTAACAAAAAATAAATGCATTGAGGTATACTAAGTGTGTTGGAGGGAGGGGCAAACTGGGACTCAAAGGTTTCAATAACTTACCTCCCATAAGGCAGAAGGTAAGTGTGTAACTGGGATTTGAACCCACGTGTCAAGTAGAAGTTATTTCAGCTCATCAGCGGAGAAATGAATGGGATGGGTACATTCCTTCCTCCCCACCTCACCCGAGGTGGCCCTGTAACCCACCCAGGAACAAGAGCTATAGGAAAATACTCGTTCTCCCCTTTATCTTTCCGTTTCTCTATGCACTCACTCTATATACCAGTCATCTTTCTAACCTCCACGGCTTAGCCAGAGAAATAAGATCTTTGAGTCCAGCTACTTTAGGACAGAGGCAGGCAAGTTCAGTCCAGGAAGGGGGTCCAGAGAAAGACTCAGATTGGCCCCACGGCTCCCGGGAAAGTAGGGCCATCGGAAGTTATCCGGGCCCAAAGACTTCCTGGCCGGCCGGCCCCTTCCTTCCGGAGCCTGACCCGGCCCTCGGCGGCCTCCCCCGAGCGCGCGTCCCAGCGGGTGCCCAGGGGGTGGGGTGGGTGGAGCTGAACACTACCTGACGGCCTTTTTGGCAGCCTGGCCGGGCTGTGCGGGGTGGTAGGGCAAGACACGCGGCTCCCAGTTCTCGCCGGCGCCGGCCCCGGGCCTCTCGCGCTCCGCTCCCGGCTGCACCGAGTTGGGGCGGCGCGCCGCATTGGTGTTGCCGCGCACTGGCAGCTCAGAGTCTCCAGGTTGGGGCGGCCCTGGGCCGCACGGCTCCTCCACCCATGTGACGCTGAGCAGGCTCAAAGTGAAGCCTAGGGGAGATCCCCGCGGCCACGGCCGGGGCGGGCCGCAGCACCGACAGCAGCAGCGATGCCCGCATGGCGCCCGGACCGCGGGCCCCCGGCCCCGGCGCAGCCCGAGAGCAGCCAGAGGAGGCTCGGAGGGGGCGGGACCGGGGAGGGGGCGGATCCGGAGGGCCCGGGCCCAGCGGGCGGGCCCGCTCCCTCCCCGCCGAACAGAGCCAGCGGCCCGAGCCGAATGCCCTGCGCGATGCTCAGATCCTCCTCCAGCACGCTGCTCTGTTTGGTATGGGGTTTCTGCGCTCAGCGCTGGAGCCTCGGCCGCTGCCGCAGCTGTCCGACGTGTCACTGAGAGGGCCCCGCCCCCGGGGTGGGGTCTTGGACTCCAGCTACCGGAGAGGGAGGAGAAGGAGGAGGTTAAAGGGGAAGGACCCCCGGAAGTGCCCCCTCCTCGGTGCGGGAGCGGGAGACGCCGGGGCGGAGTCCCCCGCTTCCCCTCCGTGTGGTTGGTGCGTCCCGGGTGACGTCAGAGGCAGGCCCCCCCTGCCTGGATGGTGCGACCTGAGTGACGTCAGGAGCAGAGGCCGGAGCTGTCCATCAGCACCAAAGGCCGCGGGCGGGCTCAGGGCATGGGGCCGCGGCTCCGGGGCGGCCCGAGCCCCTGCTTTTGCTCCTTTTCCTTCACCAGGCCTAATCTAAGGCCCCGGTCGCAGCGGGGCTGGAGTGCCAACCGGTGTTGGAGGTGGAGCGGCGACGCTGTCGCGCAGAGACCGGTCTCTCCGGCCCAGCAGCCCCTTTCCTTGCACCGCGGACTTTTCCCGGACCTCGATCAGTTGCAGCTTCTGGAGCCCCGCAACCCCGGACCCTTCGGACTCTGCACAGCCTCTTTCGCTCTGAAGCGCAGGTCGCCTCCAACCCAGGTAGATCTTGGACAATCCCAGATTTAGCCGCCCACAGACGAGTCTCCTGGCTGTCTCCTCCTCACCAGCAGCCCACTGCCCTCATCTACCCCAGAGCTAGTCCCCTTTTAAACTTTATCCCAGCCAGCTCTAGCCAGGCACTTTTGTTTCCCTTTGTCTTTGCTCCTGACTCCAGGGATGCTTCCAGAGCGGCATGATGGGGGCACCACTCCTTTGTCCACTGTGTCCTGAGTTTTCTCACTCCCACCCCAACACTCGTGGGAACTTAGGACTCCTCTTTGACTCCAACTTCCTGTCTGTCAGGTTGATCTGGGAGGGTGACCCCCTTCCATTCCCACCACTATGCCGGGCACTGTGGCGACCCTGCGGTTCCAGCTGCTGCCCCCCGAGCCAGACGATGCCTTTTGGGGTGCACCTTGTGAACAGCCCTTGGAGCGAAGGTACCAGGCACTGCCGGCTCTCGTCTGCATCATGTGCTGTTTGTTTGGAGTCGTCTACTGCTTCTTCGGTGAGATCCCCATCTCATACCTCACTTAGGCTCCCCAGTTTCCCTGAGTTCTTTATCTGCACCCCCAATCTTCTGTCCTCCCCATCATGAGTCTGTCTTTCTTTCCTCTTTCTTTCACGCTTTACATGTTTGTAGATCATCCAGACTGTAAATTCTAGAGAACACAGGCTTTTAAATTAGGCACACACAGCACCTGCTCTGTACCTTGAGCACATTAACCTGTATGAGTCCCAGTTTTCCCATCTCACCTGAACAATGGGAACAATGATATTTGTTTCACATAAGGTTGTTATGAGAATTAGTAGGCACTCAATAAATAGGAGCTATTGTGGTGAAGATGTGTTTGGATCATTAGGTTGGGCACTGAAAATACTTAGGAGGGTGATTAAACATGGTCCCTGACCACAGGGCAAGTTGTCTGGTGGAGGAGAAACTCCCAGAACTTTCACACCTGTGATTCATATGCACTGGAGTGGGCTGGGTGATGGTTGCACACATGGAGATCACCTACAAGGCAGGCTCCAGTAATAGGGGCTGCTCTGACAGTTGTACATGATGGATGCTACACAAGGAACACAGCTGAATAGGCAAGTGGGAGCTGAAATCCAGCTCATGCTCCACTTGCCAAACTTGAGGCCTTGGCACAAGGCTTCATTGCCAAGAAAGGTACACCCTTTTCTAATTTGCAAAAAGGTGCCATATGGGCTAGCAGCAGCCTGAAGTAAGTGCCCAGTGACTCTACAGCACCTACAGAACTTCAGAGAGGAGGGCGAACTCTATGGGCTGTGGCCCAAGGAAGGTCATCAGGAGGAGGATTATGTGACTGGAACCAGTGGGAGTGAAGGAGGCTGGGAGGTTTGGGTTCAGGCTGGGCAGAGGAAGGGCAAAGCCTGTGCTCTGCAGCCTCTATAACTCTTCCTAGAATGTGTGGGTAGACAAGGGTGGGAGCCAGATGGTCTCTCCACTACCACCCCCAAACTTTGGACTGAACAATTGCACAGTGGGTGGGAGGAATCACCCCCAGAAGGGTTCGAAAGACGTTTGGGGCTTCCGAGGAGTCTGTACCACCTTGCCGCCTCCACTGTCTATACCCACTGTCTCTTCAGGTTGTTCAGTGCAGCCTCTCCTGAGCTTCCCTGACATCCTTCCCCCCTTAGATGCCCTTACTCCCAGACTCTGAGCTCTGCCTTCATTTTGCCCCCTCACTGCCCCCTGTCCATGCCCTACTCCTCTCTCTGACCCCACAACCTCTTGCACTTTGATATTTCCTATTCCTTGGCCTGAATCTCCTCTTTGTCTTTGTCTCCTCCTGCCTCCTTGACTCCCATCTCTGACTTCTGTCTTTCTGTCCCTTCAGGATCTATACTTCTCTCCCGCTTTCAGATACCACTAGTGGTCCTCAGGGTCCTACAACCTCTTTTATTTCTGAAATCCACAACCATTATTTCTCCCTATAATCCTCTTTGTTTTCCTATGATCCTTCGTAAGCCCCAGTGACACCCCCCCCCTTCTCCAGCTATCTCATTACTTTCCATCTCTGTGACTCCCTCCATTATTCTGATCCCTGGTAACTCCTAACTTCCCAGTCCTTATGACCCCCTATAATTACCCCTGCCCACATGGTTGATCCCATTTCTCAGCCTCAGTGCTCCTCTCTCAGAAACCCTTAATGCTCTCAATCATTCTACTTCTGTCAAACCCCTGACCTGCAGAGACCTCATTTCCTAGAACTCCTCCCCAACAGCCCTGTTTCTCTCTCCTCTTTGTAACCTTCCAATGATGACATATCTCTGAAGCTCAGTGGCCCCTTAGAGACCTCATCTTTCTGAACCTGAATGTCTCTGTGTGATTCCACCTCTCACCTCCTTTCTGACTTCTAAATTCATTTCTCTGAACAATCCTGCCTCAAATAACCCAATAACCTCTTTCCCCTATGATCCCAAAGACACCAATGCCCCTATTACGGATTTAAACTTGACTCCAAAGATCTATCCTGACTCCTGCTGCCCTCAAGGACTCCAAATCACTGTTTCAATGCTTATGTCCATTTCCCACTGACCATATTCCTCTGGCCTCTCCCAACCCCAATGGCCCCAGTGGCCTTCACTACCCAAGTGACCCCCAAGTCTCTGATCTTAGTGTCCTTGTCTCTGCTTCCTCTGCCGTCCCATGTGCCTGACCCCTTTGACCCCTCCAGCCTGGTGCCCTCGTTTTGGCCCCTCACTGGCCCCTGTTCTCCTCCAGGTTACCGCTGTTTCAAGGCAGTGCTCTTCCTCACCGGGCTGCTGTTCGGCTCGGTGGTCATCTTCCTGCTGTGCTACCGAGAGCGGGTGCTGGAGACGCAGCTGAGTGCCGGGGCCAGCGCCGGCATCGCCTTGGGCATCGGGCTGCTGTGCGGGCTCGTGGCCATGTTGGTGCGCAGCGTGGGCCTCTTCCTGGTGGGGCTGCTGCTCGGGCTGCTGCTCGCCGCTGCCGCCCTGCTGGGCTCGGCACCCTACTACCAGCCAGGCTCCGTGTGGGGACCCCTGGGGCTGCTGTTGGGGGGCGGCCTGCTCTGTGCCCTGCTCACGCTGCGCTGGCCCCGCCCCCTCACCACCCTGGCCACTGCCGTGACCGGCGCCGGGCTCATCGCCACCGCTGCTGACTACTTTGCGGAGTTGCTACTGCTGGGGCGCTATGTGGTGGAGCGACTACGGGCCGCCCCCGTGCCTCCCCTCTGCTGGCGGAGCTGGGCCCTGCTGGCGCTCTGGCCCCTGCTCAGCCTGATGGGCGTTCTGGTGCAGTGGCGGGTGACAGCAGAGAGGGACTCCCACACCGAAGGTGAGAGGGTACAGGCCAGGGTGGGCATGAGAGGAGTGGATGGTATAGATGTGGAGGAGCTGAGTGGCCAGGGATTGGGGCCAGAGGCTGTGCACACCAGTGGTAGGGGGCCTTCATGGGGTTGGAGAGCTGACTTGCTCTGGGCTGGGGAGGATAGGACCCTCGTGCCACCATTCATTCCATAACAATGAATGGAGGGCTGGCTCTGTGCCAACCCCATTCCAGGCACTGCCTATACAATCAGCGTGGGCAGGAGACAGATAATAGACATGCAAACAAGACGATTCCAGTCATATAGCACTATGTGTGCTTTCTTATTACTCTTAATGAGTGACCTTATAGGTCACTCTTATAGTTAGGGTGGTCAAGGAAGGCCACTTGGAGGAGGCGACATGTAGGCAGAGACTTGAAGGACAAGAGACCAGCCATGCAAACACTGGGGAAGGGAAATCAAGAGGGAACAGCAAGGGTAAGGGACTCAAACAAGCTTGGCTTTTTAAGGAAGAGGGGCTGGAGCACGGTGGGTAAGATTTGGGGGCCGGGCTGGTAGTGTGAGCCCTCTGGCCATGACAAGGACTCTGAATTTTACTAGAGGGGCAGTGAGATGCCATTGAAGGGGTCAAAGTAGGGAGGATACAATCACGCTGAGCGCGTGGGACGCTCGTTCTGGCTCCTGAGGACAGCATTGGAAGGGGGCACATGTAGAGGGGAAACTAGTGGGTGGGCAGCTCTGGTTATCCGGCTGAAAGAGGACGATGGCTAGCTTGGCTCATGATTGGGAGTGAGAAAACAGCCAAGGAGGGGGTATCTAGCAGACTAGAACTCTCCCATAAAGACTTTCTGTAGAAAAAAAAAAAAAAAGCACAACTGGAGGAAGTCCCTTCGGGGAGGTGGAGACCAGGAAAGGAAGTGACAGGGTGGCGGTAGAGGACTATGGACAAAGGAAATCTGCAAGCCTGGAGCCCTGAGGTGGGACAAGAGGGGGAGGGAGATGAGGCACGTCGGCCTCTGAGACCCGCCTCTGTCCATCCCTCTGCAGTGGTCATCAGCCGGCAGCGACGACGCGTGCAGCTGATGCGGATTCGGCAGCAGGAAGAACGCAAGGAAAAGCGGCGGAAGAAGAGACCCCCTCGGGCTCCCCCCAGAGGTTCCCGGGCTCCTCCAAGGCCTGGGCCCCCTGATCCTGCTTATCGGCGCAGGCCAGTGCCCATCAAACGCTTCAATGGAGATGTCCTCTCCCCGGTGAGCACCCTGAGCTCCTGCAGCCCGAATGGGAGAGAAGGAAGTGTGTAACTGTCCAGGCAGGACTGGGTGTTCCCTGGAGGCTGGTCTAGTATTTGTCTAGCTCTGGATTGGGAGCCCTGCCCTAGGGGCATGATGGGTGCAGCTCTGGGACCAAGAGGAAGTGATCTGAGTATGGATTGTAAGTGGGATAATGTGGGGTCTCAGGGCTGTGGACCCTGGGTGTGGTCCTGGGTCTCTGGCAGTCTGGGGGAGTGTCAGGCCTGTTGGGGTGCAAGGAGAGGTGGTTTTCAGGGCAGGGGTCTGCAGTGGGACTCTCACACCTGTTTGCTCCCCTACAGAGCTACATCCAGAGCTTCCGGGACCGGCAGACAGGGAGCTCACTGAGCTCCTTCATGGCCTCGCCCACAGATGCGGACTATGAGTACGGGTCTCGGGGGCCACTGACAGCCGGCTCGGGGCCCCCTGTGCGGGTATAGCAGTATCCTGCCTGTCTAGACTCTGCAGTCACCAGCGCTGCCAGCTTGGAGAGGCCTGCCAGGCCACCACCCAGGCTGCCTGGCTCTGCAGCCTTTGGCTGTTCCTCTCCCCTCCCTGGAATGGGCTGGCCTGGCCATGAGAAGGGAGGGTCTGTCTCAGGCTAGACCTGGCCTGAGGGGAAAGACCCTTCCCAAGTTCCTGAGGGGCTCCTGAGGGATGCGGGGTGTGTGCCCCATTGAGGTGTGCTCAGGGTTGTGTGTCGCCTGTGTGTACGCGTGTGTGTGTGTGGGGGGGTAGGCTTGGAGGGACACTGGGACCCTTGCCTTAGACTTCTGATTGGCAGGGCTTCTACAGGGTTGGCCCCGCCTCCTCTCCCACTGCTGGGGTCCCATGGGCCACTCTTGCATGTCTAAGTCAAGGAGGCCTGCCTTCCTCCACCACGGCTCTGCCTCCCAACTGGACTCATCTAAGGGTTCTTGTTCTTATCCATAGGGCAATCTGCAGCACTCCTCCCCCTGGTCCCCTGGCTCTGCAAAGCCACCAGCCTGAAGGCAGTGGCAGGGATGGGGGAGGAGGTGCTGCTCTGGGGTGGGCTGGGGAGAGGTTGGAGGGAGGGGGGCTTAAATGCACGGTGCATGTCTGGTGTCTGTCATGCCACCCTGGACACCTCATGCTTCTGTCTCCCCCCTGCCCCAACCTGTTTTACATCTTTTATAAATGTGCCAAACTGTGCCGCCTCTGCCAGGAGTGGTAGTCTTCGGTGGCTGGAGCTTCCATGGGCCATGCTGGAAGCACTGCAGCCCTGGGTCTCTGGTGTCACCCACACACAGGCTCCAGGGCAGGTCTGCCCTCCCACATCATACAGAGAGGCAGGAAAATGCACTGTAGCATTTTATTGTTTCCCAGCATCTCTGGTTCCCCCGTCTCCCACCACTGCCAGGCAAAAGGCACATGCCTTCCAAGCTGTCCGGGGGCGCCCGCCTGGCCTGGCTGTGTCCTAGTTACCTGCAGAGGAACGACTCCACGTGGGCTGGGGACAGAGTGGTCCCTGGCAGAGCCTGGGCACCCACACAAGAAGAGTGAGACCCTTGGCCTCTGCTGTACCCTTTTTAGACCTCAGTCAGTGCTGTCTTGGGGGGGGTGTCAGGTAGGGGTGAGGCAAAGCATGGCACCTGAAGAGAGTGCAGGGGCCTGGGGGAGAGGGTGGTATCTCCTCTGTAGAAGGGGGAAAGAAATGGGACTAGCTGAGTGTCCTCTGCCAGGCTGGTGTTGAACTCACTGAGATGGGCAGAAGCAAGTTGGGGGGTGCTGAAGGATGGGGTGAGGACACAGACCAGCGGTGGGTGGGCGGGAAGGATTGGAGCTGGTAGAAATGGGATGTTCATGAGAGACCAGGGTAGTCCAGAAGCAAGAAGGGGTGAGAAGCAGGTGGGACAGGAAGGGCAGAGGACTAATGGCTGCCCTGAACTGAGAACCCAGGACCAGTCTCCCTCCCCACTCTCTACCCCCAATACATCCCAGAACCCAGCGCCATCCCAAGTCCTGGAAAACCTTCCGTAGGTGTGTCCTGGCCCACCGGCTCCCAGGTGCTCCTCCTACCTGGCCAGCGGGCCTGCCCCTCTGACCTCTGCCCAGTTGGCTTCGCTCACCTTCTACCAGCAGCCGTGTGTGGGCGCTGTCCTGGCCGGCCTGGCAGCAGTAGGTACCCTGGTCCTCAGGCCGCACGTCATGGATGACCAGGCTGTGGGTGGGGCCATGGCTGCGCATCTCATACTTCTCTCCAGGGCACAGCTCGACCTCCTCCCGCAACCAGCACACGTGTCCCCCCGAGCGGGACACAGTCACCTCTAGCACCGCCCGGCGGCCGGCCAGAACCGTCTTTTCGCGAGGGGGGCGGCGGCACATCTGGAGAGGCAATGCTGGGGGTGGGAGGCGAGGGTTTAAGTTAATAGGGACACGCATGGCCCTCCAGGAGGCGAGACGCATCTTCCCTTCCCACTGCCTCCACTCGTGATCTCAGCCTTCTACGCCATCAGTTCTTTTTTCTGGACCCTCGCCTCTCCAACCCAAAGCCTCCTCCTCCTTATTTCCCCAGGAAACGCGCCGCCCCCTGTGACCCGCCCCAGGAGAGGGGGTGCCGTAGCCAGTTTGTCAGTGTCGGGGTGGGAGGTGATGCCCCCTTCGTTGTCGTCCCCGCCCCAGTTGCTTACCCTCCACCTCCAGCAGAGCCGAGGACTGGGCGGGTCCCGCCTGGAAGCGGACTTCACCGGCGTCCTCGGCGCGCAGCTCGCTCAGCACCAGAATGTGTTTCTTCCCTGGAGGTGAAGGGAGCTCTAGCGAGGCTGGAGCCGCCTCTGGGCAGGGTTCGGGGATGAGGGTGAGGCGGGAGCCGACCCCAGGTCGGTGCAGACGCGGTAAGTGTGCGCTGGGGTGGGAGGAATTGGGATGCGGAGAGGGAAGAGGAGCGGTCCAGGACTCAGAGCTGGGGGCGGGGAAAGACCGGAGACAAGGCTGTTTGGGCCGTGGGGCGGGGCCCACTGAAGCCAGAGGCGGGGCCTATCCTGGTGGGGCGGGGTTTGTTTGAGCTGGAGCTGGACAGCAAGGGGCCAGAGAGAGTAGAGGGTGTCCAAACCTTCCTGTCGGATGCGGACTCGGCTTCCGGGTCTAAGCGGGCGGCCTCCGAGCTCCCAGCGCCCAGTGGTCTCGGCTTCCGACACCGTACACTCGAACGTGGCGCCCTCGCCTTCGCGGACGCGCACCGGCCGGAGCTCGGAAAGCATCGACACCAAGCGCTCTGGGGCGGAGCCGGGGATGTGAGGCGGGGCGGGGCGGAACCAGGCCACGCCCCACTCTCTAGACGCTGCGGCGGGGAGCCCCAGGGGAAGACCGGTCCCCCGCCC